TAGGCAGTTAATTACATAATAATATGTAAATCATGTCTCCCTTTTAATGTCTGTTTAAATTCCGTGGTGGCATTGTAGCAACCTCCTCGACCGCAAAATCAAGTTGGAAACTTCGACAATCAATGAGATCAATTATAAGTTTTAGGGACCATTCCTAAAACACCGAGTTGGTTAGCTACTCATCATTTTGTTCTAGGATTTTTTCCTATTGTAGGACATTTTGTGGTCAATGCGCGAAGGAGGTGCGCTGCAGCGTGAGGTTTGAAAAAGGAATCGATCGTGATTTGGAACCTGTTCTTTTCCATGACCCCTCTTAGCTGAGATATTTTCTTATTTGAACTATATCAAATTTTTTTTCTATTTTTCTGTTCTGGCTTCGGCTAAGGCGAGCTAGTCGAGCCAGAAAGAAAAAGGGCCAGGCCCCACCTCTAAAACTGTTAAGGTTTTTTTATTTAATGAAAAGGAAAATCTTCCTTTTCTTTATAATAGTCCAGCAAAAGGAGAAGAGGGGGATTCGAACTCTCGAATAGTTCCATGATGTTTTGACAACTCAAACTTTTACAATCAAACTAGAACGTCTCGAGAATATGAACCCAACAACCAAATCCGAGCCCAAATGGGTTGCCAATCAACGGTTATACCAGAGCCTGTAGAAGGCTTTCGAAGACCATATAAATCTAATGATTACCCCATGTTTTCAAACAGAACTATATCGATACTTATCTAGTCGAATGAGCAGCCTCAAGCATAGAACAATCAAAGAGCGCCAAGCATATAACGAATCTGACTATTACTACTCCATCACAAGATCCATTAAAACATGCGTTCCATAATCATATCGGATTCTCTAACTCATCCTCTGCCTGTCCCACTCCTCACAGACACATCCTCACGAATCTTGGCACCTTTAGATCCTCACCCACAATGTAGATTTGTGGAGTTCATGTCACAACTCTTTAAACAAATATTCGATAAATAGCTAGACCCCCTTTTTACTCCTTACACAAAAGGAAGATCGCCAATAGCCAAAAGAGAAATCAAAAAGGCAAAGAAGCATTCGATAGATACTATACGCTCTTTACTCTCCTATGATGAAGCTCCTCCAACATACACACTTCAGTCCTAAGTTCCAGTCTGACCCCTTATTACGTGACTGACCTATTTTTAAACCACGTTTTCTCATGCTCCGCAGAGGACCACCACTTCACGGAGCCCCGCGAGACCTTCAAATGTCGGTGGATACATCACTTAAGGCCGTCTGATGCTCTCGCCGGTCTGAGTCTGAGTAGTCTTGAGGCCTTTTGGAGAGTTCTATCACCGAACCTACCACTATGAAGCAGTCGCACTCATCACCTCCTGCTTCGGACCAACATTCGCTTGATTTTGGCTGTGAGGACCTACTTAATATTGCATGCAGAACCTTCACTTTGAGGCCCTTCAACCCTTACTTCGTTCACGCGAGCTCACCCATTGCACGTGGCCTGTACATTTTGCTCGTTATCTTCTGTATCGTCGGTGAAGCTCCAAGTCACAACTTTGAACGCACACTCACAATGTTTGTAATTTTTCGCTGGTACATACACTCACTTGAGGCCCTGATTGCTTCGCCGCACACCATCTTGACGCTGAGTGAACATTTCGCGCACACTCGTGGGAACTATCCGCACCGGACACTGAAGTTCTGCCAAAAATGCTATCTTCTGGTAAGCTATCCGAATTCTCTCATCTCTACCTTCATTTGGTTATTTTTCCCGATCCAAAACAATCCTTCAAGAATTCAAGATTTGTGTAGACACACTAAGCTATCTATATCCTCGTATCGCTCGATTAACAGTAAAGTAAGACAAAACTAGGACATTCTGCCATGCGTTGTTCCACGTCAAGTGACATGTAGATTTCATCTTGTTTGTGACTAGATTTCACCAAATATGAACAGTGATCACAATTAATTAGATGATACATGACTGCATCTCTTCTGATGTGGATGAATGGAAACTCTTATATCTGTATTATATATCTACACAAGTATACTAGTGAAATTATTTCAGGTATTTGGGCGTTAAGCCCTCGGGCTGATTCTTTCCCCGTCTAGGCGTTTTTAATCCACTCATATTAACAAAACATCTTGTATTATTCATCGTGGCTGTGAAAGTATGAAAATATAATACAATCACATAAATGGGTCATACGCGGAATTGTTTAACTGTCTCATTCTACTGATAATGCAATATCGTAATAGCATGACACACGAAGAATAAATTTAACGTGATTATTCGTCGAAATTGGATAATAATTTAATCATATTTATCCTATTTTGTGTTGCTCTAAAATGAGAAAATCCAACATAAAATAAGTGATAGACAAGCTGTAGGGTTTCGGAATTTTCTTCTCAGCAAATATATACGAGAACTGAGTTCATAAGGAGTTTGAGAAATTGGATACTATATGCCTAGAAGATAGAATTAAGTTTGTATCGTTGAATGAATTATCAGTGTAATTAAATAGTGAATCAATAACTAACATGAATCATACTATGTAATGAACATTAAAGCCTCTAAATGTGAGGCACCATAATTGTGTAAATCCTAGTAATACATAAAGATATTACTAAATATTGTAAATTAACACAGATCATTCCCATTAGTATGTATTTATGGTCATATAGATCATTATTCTTCCTACAACACAATCCAAAAATAAAACGTCATTAAAATCAATATCTCAAAATTACCAATCAAATCAATATAGCTATTACAGAGTATGGACAAGGTACGAAAAACTAACTTCGATCATCTCCAATATAGTTATGTGTAAAGCATGAGGCAGTACACAGGAATATTTGTGTGACAAGATTTCCTTTTGATTTGATTGCATCAAATCACCAATCTGAAAATATTCTATTAATTCTGATGAAAGTTTCATAATAATAATTTTTAACTAAAAGTAGCTTAATAGCCTAATCATATGCGATTTTTTTAGACTTAATGTCCATAAGTTAAACCTAATAAATCAATTTTATGAAATTTGTCGTTATTTTTGACGTATAATTCAATTAAAATAGTGATTGCAATTAATTGATACAACTTAGATTGAAATATATTTCATTAGAATTTTAAATGGAATATTCTAACCGACCGAATGTCAGTAACGAAGATTATTCATCAAATTTTGAGATAGATATTCCAACTACAGCTATGATATGATATTCAATATTGAGATAAATTAAGTTGTGTAGGACTACCAAGCTATCTCGAAAGCATATTTCGCACAAAAACAATCGTAGACATTTTTAAGCAATAAATTGCAATTCTATCCACATTCTGAACGCTGAGAAGAAGTATCACTACATCAAATATTACAAACGATGTGAATAACACTGTGATAATCGGATAATACTGACATACCGGAGAAAATAGAAAGTTATAGGATAATACCAGAAAATCGTATATGTACCATCGATAATAACAAAGATACAATTTTATATTAGATCTTTATAATATAAATAGAAAATATTAGATTTAAGAGTTATATATTAAGGTATTTAAAAGGTAAAGGGGCACACCCACCATACATTTGTTAACTATAAACATAGATATTCAAATAGAGATGTATTAAATAGCAGACTGTGTACTCTATCACCACATGATATCTCTCGCCTAGTAAAACAATGGTTCTTCTCTCCCATCCCTTACCCTTGCTCAACCTCATTTAATGCACCTTTGTGTGTAGCAAAGCTAGTAGTGGAGCTAATAATAGACTCTTTTGGTACGAGGTTGCAAAACTTGAGACTATTCGGATACGAAACATAGTGTACTTATGAAGCTCATTATTCGTACACGAATAGATATGTACGATTTGAACTCTATATGAATAAGTACAACTGCATCTTGTTTATGATCTATGGTGAAGTAAGTTTCTGAGAATCAACTCATAAAAGTTTTGAGTTTGCCACGTTTACCGTATGTTGAGTTGGTGATCTTTTTACCTCTAGGTTAAAAAAAACATTGGACCTAGTAACTGAGTTGCACAGAAAACAGTATATAAATAGAAACAAAACACGTCCTAGAAGATTTCTATTCTCTGGGATTAGGGCTAGTGCACATCTGTGTATTTCGACATCTATATAATCTTATACAAAGAGCAAGGTTATGAAATATCTTCTTCTAAAATTAGAGATATTATCCATTAAATTATACGCTAGCTTATAATAGTAGACAATCTGTTAATCTCTCAGGACCTTGCGATTTTGAGATACACTTTCTCGTACTTGTTCTTCTTCTTAATTATTAAGTGATTTAGTTATACATTTTTGTAACTAGAGATCTTCAGTACTAGAATTAAAATAACTGCTGTTTTAGAAACACCACTAAGAAATATCTTCTGCGCGCGCTTCTTCCCCAAACGAACCCCTTAAAATAAATTGATCAATCCTAGCCTAAATATTTATTATAACCATTATCCATGTATATATGAAAACACCTTAATGCGACTCGCTCTAATATAATAATAATTATCTTTATGAGTTGCTAGCCAATTATTGATTCATCAGAGGATTTAAATATGATATCCATTAATTAATGTCCACATAAAAGTTCATGTGTTCCATAATTGCATACATAATGTATTGTAAACGTTAGAAAACACATAACGACATATCTCTCCTTGTACACTCTTTGCTCGTGCCATTTCTGCACTTTAATATATTCGAATTCAAGAGTTTGAATATAGGAAATCAATAGAATTATCTCATAGCTCACAACATGTGTCACTATTAACCTTCCATTCAAGCCATACTTACATTGGGAAAATTAGAAAAAAAGTTTCAATTGAAAATAAAAAGCAATGAACATTTCTAATACGTTTTAGTTGGGGCGATCTACGGAGAATAGAATAAAATTAGACTAGTATATTCCAACTACTTTTAAAATAAGTAAATCTCGTGGCAGACTAATTTCAAAATGTCTATAAAAATTATTTATTGTTCTCATTGTAGAGAGTAAGCAAGGCATATCTAATAGTTAATATTGTCTACTAAGACGTAAGTGAAATTTTACCTGATAAAAAAATATCTTTGAAACGATTGGGAATCTAATTTTTTTGTTAAAACAAAACAATACTCTTTAGAAGAATCGTTGCACAAACAATAGATTAATGCCCAGAGCACTAAAACATGGCTTTACATTTTATTCACAAGTCTGAAATAACTAATATAATCATAAGCCAAAAGGATATTTGTAAGATGTATTGTTCATTTCAATTTTTATGAAGTAATACCACTCTAAATAAGTTATCATAATATATACAATTATTCCTCAAAAAATGCTACAAATACATTTTTTTTTGAAATGTGATTTACAAAGCCACGTTATACGCTCTAATTTTTAGAATAAAATAAATGTGATCATAAAAAAATACAAAAATCATGAACAGACTCATGTGCAAAATCACTCTATATAAAGAATGAATACTTTCCCATAGACGTAAGTATACACAATAAGGATAGGCCGGTCGTCGCGCCTTTAGTACCAGCCCGTAGCGACTTGGAGAGCCAATCACAACCCTCACCTCTCTCATGACCAAGGGTTATATCCATTTATAAGTTGTGGAAAGTAGTTTATACCATACGATATCTCTTAACCATACCCCCGATAATAAGTGGAGGATCATTAATGTGCAACGTTCTCCTGCCCTACCCCCCTTTCCAGCTTTTGCATCTGCGATAAAACCTGTATTTGATCCAAGTTCTGTGAGTGGATTGTGAAGGCTTTATATTTGCAGCTTAGAACAAGTGATTGCGCATATGGACTACTCTAGGACCGAGAGTGTTTAGACTGTTCTCTAGGGGCTTCGTCACCCTAGTTGCTACAGCCTATACTGGAAACTGGTGTTCCATTTCCATTTTATTTTTGGTTTGATTTGGTTAGCTGTCGTGGGGGTGGTTTATGAAGGATTCCGATGCTCCGCCTCGTAGCGAATCACGGAGGTAATCAACTGCTGGAAAATTCTCTTGCAAAAAGCACTGTATTGTCCTGCTAAAATGAAAGAAACCTCTATTTTGATGCAAATCGATATGTTTTAGATTTTGTCCTCTGTATCATACAAATACTTTTTTGGTTGGCTTAGAATGTCATGACCGTTTTTTTTTTTTCGTCTTCGTTCAAAATTAGCAAGCGTGCAGCTTGAAATTCGTGAGCTTTTGAGAGGCATTTGCATTTGTTTGTTCTCAGGTTATGGCGTTTGGAGGTGATAGGAAGGGTCTGGCTTATTTTCTTAATCCAATCAGAAACCCATCCACCCAGGACTAAAGAAATCATGTTTTCAGCTGCTAAATTTAAGTGTCTTAATTCAATTAAGTAGACTGATTCACATTGTAGAAACAGCGGAAGAAAAAATGTTCTTACGGAGATCTAGTGGAAAAGGAGAACTTCTGGATCGGCACTGGCATCAGAACTTGCTACAACTGTCTCATTGGGTAGGCTTCTATGGCAAAGCCACGCTCCAAACTTGGAAGAGGCTAAATCTGAATTTACCCTTCTGGAGGTTCAGTGTTCTCACCAGTTGGTAGGATTGCATGTACCTTGAGCTTGGCCTTGACGAGATTCCATGTTATTTCCGGGCTTCTTGCTTTTGGTGTTGGGGAGTTAGAATGGGTTCAGAAGACTCGAGCGGATGGGAATTTCTTTTCTGCGGGGAATGGTCTTTATACAGGCACACAGGATGGACGTTTGTATCTATCTTCGATTTTCTATTCATTAATAGAAGGTGTTATTCTAATCTTCCGAGCAGTGTACTTGGCAGTTCTGTTTTTGCCATCCATTTTGATGGCTCCATTCGCAGATACCTTTGGTGTTGAATTCAGAAAGAAATGGATTTATCTTGTCCATATCACTCTTGAACAAGCAGGGCCAGCTTTCATAAAATGGGGACAGTGGGCAGCCACGCGACCAGATCTCTTTCCTAATGACCTCTGCACGGCACTTTCAGAACTGCACAGCAAAGCTCCTGCTCATAGCTTCACCTACAGTAAGATTACTATTGAAAAAGCATTTGGTCGGAAGCTTTATGAGATCTTTGAGCAGTTTGAGGAAGTACCTGTGGCATCTGGTAGCATAGCACAAGTGCATCAAGCTTCTCTGATGTTTCAGTATCCAGGTCAGAGGCTGAGTAAACCTATTTCAGTTGCAGTGAAGGTTAGGCATCCTGGGGTGGGTGAGTCTATAAAGAGGGATTTCACAATTATTAATTTTTTCGCAAAACTTTCAAGCTACATCCCTGCTCTTAACTGGTTACGACTGGATGAAAGTGTTCGTCAGTTTGCAGTGTTCATGATGTCCCAAGTAGATCTTTCAAGGGAAGCTGCTTATTTGAGTAGGTTTATATACAATTTTCGCAGGTGGAAGGATGTGTCTTTCCCAAAACCCCTTTACCCTCTTGTGCATCCTGCGGTTCTTGTGGAGACATTTGAGCCTGGAGACTCTGTGGCTCGCTATATTGATGACCTTGATGGCAACACACGCCTTAAAAGAGATCTTGCACATATTGGTACACATGCACTCCTCAAGATGCTTTTGGTATGATCCTCTTAGATAATTGACTGTTATTAAGATATTAATAATTTAATGACCTGTAAGCTTTTTTTTTTTTGCTCAAGTTTACTTAAATTTTCTTATGTAATTGGGTTGCCTAGCCATTATTTTCCTATCTTATCAATGATTGAAAACATATATTATTTGATGCCCACCATTATCATGGAATTTTGGCTTATTTATTCAAAAATATAGAACTATCATGTTATTAGTCCATGACAGGGATGTTTTAATGTGTTTTGAATTTGTTTTATAGGTGGATAATTTCATCCATGCAGACATGCATCCTGGAAATATCCTTGTTAGAGTGCCCCAAAGAAAACGGTCAAGAAAAAGAATCTTTAGAACGAAACCTCATATCATCTTTCTTGATGTTGGCATGACTGCCGAGCTCTCTAAAAGTGATCGTCGTAACTTGTTGGAATTCTTTAAGGCTGTTGCTCTCCGAGATGGACGCACAGCTGCAGAATGCACATTGAGATTGTCAAGAAGGCAAAGTTGTCCTGACCCAAAGGCCTTTATTGAGGTAACAAGTTATTCAAGTGTGTTTCTGTGGTCATGTTTTATTAATCTTTAAAGCTCATGAGTGCATTTAAAGGTTATGTAGGCTATATCTTTCTAATTGGATTGCGATGGATTTATTTTGCTTTGAAATTTCTTTGCTATTCTTAGTTTTAATCGGGCATCTGTAATCCCAGTTAGTGTGTAGGGTGTTATTATTTTCTTAGTCACAAATTGTTTTAGGAATAGTGATTTTCTTTATTGATAATTGGAATTGAACTCTTAAAATATTTGAGTTTTGTAGTTCACAAAAACTAGCATTTGTATGGCAATCCTTTCCTACTTTTTAAATGAACTCATCATCTTCTACTCAAAACTCAACGCATTTGGTATATCTAATCGTATCTTAGCAATTTACCATTCATTTATGTTTGTTAGGCTTTTAGCATATATACGCTATCAAGCTTTACCTCAGTTGACCCCTGCACATCACTAAACTTTACTTTACCTAAAGCATAATTGTTGGGCTGCTTGTGAGTACCTATTTTGCAATTTTGTGAATAGTAATTTTAGTGATTCATTTGATTGACATATCTCTAGTATTTGGTTGTTCTGTTTCTGAACAATTTAGTTTCAAATCTACTAGTGTATTAGGCAAAATACCACTATACACATCAAACCAAAAAGGGCCAACTACTCAGATGAGTAGGTTCCAAAAAGAATCTCTTTATTTGTAATTAAAAGTGTAAATGAAAAGAATAAATTATAGTTTAAGGTACTTTATGAATAGATAAGAGAAATAAAAAATGAGAAGAAAGTAACTAGAGAGAAGGAATACAAAATTTAAGTGGTTTGGCATATTATGACCAACATCCATTATGAGCAGGTGAGACTTTCTTCTTATATGTAAGAAAAAATTATAAGTAAGCTCTCCAAGCTTTTGCACTTTATTAAAGCTTTAGTGTTTAGTATTGTCCTTTGATTTCTCCCTTTCAAGAGGATTGAATTGAGTATTTCTAGTAATTTTCATCTTGGGAGATGAATCATTAACCACTTTAGTGATTTTGAAAGCGTATATCATTGTGTGAGCTCTATCATTGTTAATATCTTCATTAATTTTTCTAATTATCTGTAACACCTTGATGAATATTATTGTCTTCTTAAACAATGAATAGGTTTGGTATTTGACAATCTTGAGTTTCTCAAGAGGAATTATGATAGTTGATATGCTCCCGAAAGACTCTGTAATCAGATAAGAAACACTTGTAGATCTCAATTATTTCCTATCAATCTTCGGAAAACAGCTAGAATTCCCCAAAAATCTACACAAAACCATGAAACAGTAGATAATTTGTATTATTTGATGAAATGGAAACGGAAAATACCAAGATACAATTGATCCTCTATTCGAGAGGAGGATCTTTCTCTCCAAAACCTCTAGATGCCGCTAGAGCCCAAAGAAACTAAGAGATCTCAAATTTCAGCCAAATTCCAGATGCCCTAACCCTAGCAAAACATAGTGAATACATAATATATAAATTATGTATTTCAAAAGGAATCTCTAAACAGCCCCTACTTTGAAATTTCCCTTCTAATTCCCTCAAAAAACTTCCTAAACAGCTTTTTCTAATCCGGGCGATCGGATTGTGCGTACAGGAAGGCGGAACATCTCCGCCTATTTCACACGGACCGGTCTCGTTGGACCGGCTGGACCGATCTAACATAATCCTTGGATGTTGTTGTCTTGAGAGTCTCTGTACAAAAATAGGACGGTGTATTGTCTTGAGTTTCATCTTCAATATTCTTTGACGGTGCCACATGTGCCGTCAAGGCTGCTTTTTATGACTCAAGGAATCTCAATGATTAACTTCGTTTCCACATATTTTTGAAGTTCATAGAAAAAATGGAATTCCAAAAATTTAAGTCCATGCGTCCTTAAATTCTTTTTCAGCCTTTCTCCTTTTGTTTATGCTTGTTTGAATTCTTCTAAAGGTGAAGTGGATGCGAAGATCTTGTTTTGTTTGCAAAAGTTGATAAGTAGAATAGAACTTGGCGCAACTATGCTAATGTAGTTATACCGGAGGATTTTGCTGCTAAAGAAATTGTTAATGTGGTAACTTTTGCACCATATACTATTGTTATGCCATTAACGAAATGAAGATTCAAAGAAGGATTTAATGGAACAAGTAGGCATCCATGACAGCGTTGAAGGACATGAATCTAATAAGAAAACTTTATGAGGACATTGCCATCGAGGAACAACTGAGAATCAGCTTCTCTCATTATATAAGATTATTGAAGTTGATTGATGAAAAAAGTTGTGAAAAAGTTTATATTATATCTGAAAAACATCCTTTCTTGTAATGAAAGACTATTGAAGTTGATTGATGAAAAAGGCTATCTACGAGGAGAAGGCATGCCTAGTATCCTAGAGATATAATAGGATAACAAAGACCAACCTTCATCTCTCTGAATAAAAGATGAAAGCAGTGGTGAATTTTGAATACATGGATAATTCCTTAGAGAAGTTTGTGGTGAATTTTGAAAAGAAATTCATAAAATTTGAGACGAAAGCTTCTGAGTTGATGATACAATTGATTTCTCTTCAAAATTAGAAAATTCACTCTCTGAACTTGACAACTTAAATGTAAGTTGAAAAAAAATAAAAACCGAACTTGTTGGTCTTGATAAAATCAGAGTGAATAGATAGACTCTGTTGAACATCATGGGATTCTCTTGAGCATATATTGGATAGGTTACAGATTTACAATACATCAAAGAAAACTTTAGTCAATGATGAGCTTATAAATTTCTGCATTTGAAAGAGTAAACTTTGACTATATTGTATGTGATAGGAAATACTTGAAATCAAGTATTTCCTATTCACCTTTACAGCAAATCTCCACGAAATACTGCTGTCCGGAGCAGGAGAACAGTGAAAACAGTGGAAAAACTGTAGAAAACTGAGAGAAAATCGTAGGAAAAACTTGTATTTTACTAGTAAATGCAAGGAAATTAGCAAAGATACAATTGATCCTCAATTCGAGAGGAGGATCGATCTCTCCCAAATCTCTAGACGCCGCTAGAGCCCAAAGAAACCTAAATCTAAGAGATCTCAAATTTCAACCAAATTCAAGATATGCCCAAACCCTAGCAAAAATCAACTATTTAATGCATACAAATCAAAAGGAATTCCCTAAACAATCCATACATTCAAATTTCTCTCTAAAACCCCCCAAAAATCCTTCCTAAAACGCTCCGTTTGAGCTGTCGGCCCGCCCGATCTCCGCAGGAGGCGGAGATCACGCGAAGTTTCGCGTCTGAGCCGGTCCCGTGCGGAACCGGGTTTTATTTCTTTCTTTTTTTTTTTTCTTTCTTTTTTTTTCTTTTCTTCTGGGAACCGTCCAGTGGACCGGTCTAACAGTATGATAGAAGAAGGCAAGCAAGAGAGTCAGTGATGTTGAGTAATATATTGCACTTCAACTGTATTGTTCTAGTTCATAATACAGATTTTGATGAAGTTTGCAAAAGATTACTATGGATTCGCCTACTTTCTAAAATTGAATTAGTATTTGTTGAAGTTTGAATGAAAGAAAGCAGTCAGAGAATAATGTTTGGAGGCACCAAGAATACTCTCACAAGAAAGAATCTACACTAGTCATCAAAAGTTCGGAGCAAAACCCTGACATTATTCAAGGCGTTGATAGAGAGGTAATTTTTGGTGTGATGTGATCAATCACCCATGATACAACAACAACAACAACATCAAGCCTTTATCCCACTATGTGGGTTCGGCTACATGAATCCTTTTTTTCCATTGTGTCCTATTAAAGGTCAAATTCTCGTTTAAATATAATAAAGAAAGGTTATTCCTAATATTTTCTAACCAGTTCTTTTTAGGTCTG